GTCTCTCTCCTCTTGGGGCCTTGGTTTTCCCACCTGTAGAATGAGGATGTGGAGTTTGGTGATGGCTCAGGAGTTCTAGTTCAAATGGTCAGTGGATCTCAGCCTGCCTCAGCGGGTGAAAATGAAAGAGCTGGACCAAGGTAACTGGGGCCCTCCTGACCCCTGAGAACACAGATCTGTGTTGCCTGTGTCTTTCTCCGTCTCTCTCTGTCACCTTTTCACTCTGCTCTGTGGTTGTGTACATGTCCCTGTCTCTCGGTCTCTCTCATTCTCTCCTCCTTCCCCACATCAGGGGCCACCACTCTCTTCCCCTCTCAAAGAGCCCCTGGTCCCCTAACAGCTTTCAGATGTGTCTCTGGAACAGTTCTACAATTACAGCTGAGACGGGCAGAAAGCGCATGGCCTTGTGACTTTTGACCCAGCCCCGTGAGCTTGTCATCTTCCTCTTTCTCCACCCCTCCGCTCCCACTGGCAGGGTGGCCTAAGGCCTCCACTGACAGGTTGAGTTACTCTAATGACACAAATAGAAGCTATCTTTTAGGAAGTAAAGAGTGAACCAGGCCTGTTGCAATCACTATTTTGTTGAGTTTTGTTCCCCCAACTTGTGAGATATGGTTAATTTCATCCTATTTTACAGGTTCAGAGACTGAGGCTCAGAAACAGTGAAGTGACTTTTCAAAGAATGATCAGCCAGCAGTTGGAGAAAGTGAGGATTCTACCCACATTTTATAACTTGAAAACCTGAGACTGCTTCTCCCCCAGCATGCTGTTATTCATGCTGCTTGGCTAAGCAGAGAGGTGACCCCGGACTCTCTTGGTGGAGGAAATATATTACAGAAGCATCATGCAAACATAAGTGGCCAATGGGAAAGCAGTGTTTAAAATTGTTTCCAAGTCCTCATGTTTGGAGTCTCATTCACATGTTTTATTTACTACAACCTTCCACTTTCTCCTCAGTTGAAATATGTCTCCTCTTCTACTCCAAGAAAGCATTTTAAAAATGTGTACTCTTGCCCAAATAAGTGCTCTTTATATAGCCTTTATAAAAATGTTGCAACTTACAAGCCACTTCTCATGCCTCACTCTATGTGATCCTTGAGACAGCCGTACACTGTCTCTACAGTTATCCCCATTTTGCTGACGCAGAAACAGAAATTGAGAAATGAGATGTGCTGTGCTCAAGTTCATTCATTTACTCAAATATTTAGATGGCCTGTCATATGCCTAGTACTGTATGAAGTGCCAGGGACATACCCAAGCTGCAGGCTGTGGTTTGGATTCTGCCTCTGCTGCTTTCTAGATGGGTTGTTGTGTGTACGGTAAGTGTTTACATGGTGTTACCTGGTACTGTCCTTACCTCCCTCCTTTGCCGCTTGCTTATTCTCACGTCCTGGGGTTTCATGATGATCATGCTTCCAACCCCTGTGCAAGGCTTCCCAGCCATACCTCCTCTTGTATAGCACTTAAATTTCACATTCGTCCACACTGATCTGTGAAGTGGATAGCAGCCTTCCTATCACAAGATGCCTCAAACAGAGAAGTGATATAAACACAGAGAGGTGAAGTGACTACTCCAAGGTCACACAGCAAGGCAAGAGAATGGAAAGTGAACCCAAGCCTGGCCACCTCCAACACCAGACTTCTCCCTTTGTCACCCACTGCTTCTCCCTTGACTGAGACAGTATATGATATATAGTAAGAGCCAGAACGGAGCTCCGCTCACAGTGCTGAGATGTGACAGGTGGAGAGAGAGAACGCCCATATAACAGTGCTATTGTTCTCTCACCAAAGGCTGAAGCTAAATGGCCCAGAAGGCTGATGAATAGGTTGGCTAAATGGCCCAGAAGGCTGATGAATAGGTTGGCTTCCGTCTGAAGATGAGGCCAAAACACTCCGTGTTTAGGTATCTTAAGTCACATGTATTAGGGGTAGACCTACACTTGCTTACCCTTCCCAGCACTGCAAGTCAGCTGATGAAAGACACAAGGTGGAATTAGGTTTGATGAGGTGGTATAGTACAGTGTGGTTAAGAACATAATCTTGGGATTCAGACAGACCTAAGTTCTGGTCCCCTGCTGCTATTTATTTTTTAATATATAAGTATGGGTGAATTACTTGGCCTCTTTGGAACCAACGTCCTTATTGATAAAATGTGAACAATCATGGTACCTAGTGTATCATCATGAAGATTAACTGGCATAGTGTGTGTAAAGGACACCAGTGAGCACTTACTAGATGGCAGTCGTGCCTAGCGTTGCACTCAGCCATTGTATGACCCTAGGTTTCGTACACTTGGACTGACAGTTCTGCAGGGAGGGACTTGTTTGCTTTTGTTTCACATTTAGGGAGACAGGACCAGAGAGGATGATCAACTAGCCCAAGGTCATACAGCTAGTGAACACCAGAGCCAAGGTTTGAATGGATGCTGATTGGGCTACAAGACTCCTCTTGCCCTGTTCCCTGCCGGACCCCTCAGCCCAGTCCCCTTTGCAGAAAATGGGTGGGACAGAGCAGTGCACATTCCTGTGGTGCTGGGAGGTGTCTCCATGGGCCTGTCATGGGCCTGGTGGCAGTGTCCCATAGCAGCAAAGACTGTGGAGCATATATGGTTATAAGGCTTGCTGCCAGCCGGGCTCATGGTGTTGTAAACATAGACCTGGCATGACTGGTGAATTCCTATGTGCACCAAAAAATACCAACTTCCTAGAAAAGGCAGGATGGCACTAATGTACTGTCTGAATTACAATGAAACTCAGAAGCATTATCAAGGAGTAAGCTAGAAACACATTCTTGGGATGACATGAGTTCCCTTCACAGTTCTTTGGAAGAGAAATTGAGTTATTTTTTCAAAAGGAGATTTTTACACACGAAAAAAGACAAATAGTGTTTTCTCCAGAAAGATACTGGCTTCTGCTTACTGTGCACCTGGTACTGTGAAGTTATGATTTATAGTGCCTTTCATAAAAACATTGGGGCACCAGGTCATGAGGTGTTAAAACTCAGAGGGCCTGTGAGATGACCAGGTTCAGACCCTCTAAGCCAGCAGTGGTAGAGCTAGAGCGGCAGAGTGGCAGCTAAGGGCAAGGAGTTCGGGTTTTAGGGTGAGACAAACCATGGTGCGAATCTTGGCTCTTTCACTGTCCAGCTCTGTGATTTTGGACAAATTGCCAAATTTTTTTGATCTTCAGTTTCCTCCTCTGAAAGATGTAGATAAAGAGGGTGATTACTTTAGCAAGTTTTCATAAGATTAGAAAAACATGTGAAATGGCACTGTTTCAACATAGTTGGAGTTTGGCAAATACACCTAATGGAATTGTATTTGTTGTATTTGTACAGTGTTGGTACCCATAGACCTTTAGCCAGAAGACAGTGGCTGATAGTGGTTAAATGCATGGGCTTTGGAGTCAGGCACACCTAGACTTAATTGCCAGTCCCAGTAATTACTGTGTGGTTCTGGGCAAGCTTTTCGTCCTCTCCGAGCCTCCTGTATGAAATAAGGAGAGTAATAGTAGATATCTTTTAGGATCACCTAGGAGGATCAATAGCAATAATGCAGCTAAAAATGCTCAGGCCAGTGCTTGACGCATATTAAGGACTTATCACATATTAATTGATTTGTACGGCCAACTCATGTTTATTAACCATCTAATATGTACAATCAGGGCTCATAATTCTGCAACTTGGCGGGAGTAGTGTAATGCTCATTTTATAAGACGAGGTGAGTTGACGTGTTGGGGAAGGAGGAAAGGAAATAGGGCCCCAGGATGGTAGTTTCTTCTATCTGACCCAGGGAACTGTCTTCCCACTCCTCACAACTACCTCTACCCTTGAAGGCTGGTGAAGAGGAGGGCGTGACAAGACAGGACACTTAGATGCTCATCCCTTCTCCCTTCCGTTCAGATTGTTGCTGGCCTCCAAGGCTTACCTCCTCTTGAAAGTTTTCTCTGCTCACTCCTTGGACTTTGTTTAAACCACAGAACTTGGAGATCCGGAGGTATGAAGGGTCAGAGAGCCTTCTCCAAGTAGGCCAGAGGACAGTGTCTGCTCCAGAAAGAATTCTGTGCCCTGGGTTGGGACATGGCTTGTACCTTAAATAACTTTCAGACACCCTATCGTGGCCCCATGGTCCCCACCCATCTTCCCATTCATCTCATTTTGCTCTCTGTTTGCTATCTACCTCTCATATTTGCTACCTACTGCTGTCCATTCCTCTAGCAGTCTGGATCCCCCTCTCCTTAGAACCTTTGCACTTACCAGTTTTATTGTATGGAATGCTCTTCCCCTGGTCTTCCTCCCATAAGCTAGTCCCTTTTCATTTTCGTGTCTCAGCTCAAACCTCTCCACAAGAAGGTCTTCGTGGACAAGCCTGTCCAAAGTACCCACATTCTCTTTCACGCTAGTCTTTTCTTTATTAACCTGTTACATTCTCTCTTACATTTATGGTTGTCTGATTTTTTGCTTCCTTTTTGATTAGCTTTATGCAAGCAGAGAACTTGACTCTCTTGCTCATCTTTGTAACCTTAGCTCCTGCAATAATTCCTGGCACACAGTTAATGCTCATGAGTATTTGTTGATTGAATGAATGAGTGAATGAATGAATATATAAGTGAGTTTATAAAGCCAAACAAGATAACATTGGGTTTTACTTCTCAAGTCCTAGACTCAGACTGCTCTGTCCTCTAGTAACTGTGAGACAAGAGAAATAGACAAAACTAAGTGTCAGTTTCCTCACTGGTGAAACTCAAGTGATGATAATCCCTGCCTTCTGGCCTCGCTACCTGTAAGTTAAGATTTTAAGTGCCAAATGCCCAGCAGGCAGTTGGTGCTCAATAAATGTTTAATAATTAGCATTTTTCCTCCAAATCATTTCTTCTGCAGCCTAAGCATCCCTGAGTTCTTTCAGCTGTTCCTCCTGTGCTACGGTGTTGTGTTCCTCCTCGCAGCTTCCAGGCCTTCTCTGAAGCCGTGGCCTTACGCTCTGTTTTCTTGCTGTGCTACAGGTTCACCCTCTATGCTGTGGACACACGAGGGAGGCACTCAGAGCTCAGCACCGTGACCCTGCGGACTGCCTGCCCGCTGGTGGATGACAACAAAGCAGAAGGTGGGTGGCCCATGTCTTCACTCCCCAGCTAACTCACATTTCCTGTCTCTAAATTCAAAACCCAACATTAACCGCCACTCCTTCCCCACCTCACACACATTGGTAGAGGGAGAAGACAGCGAAGGGACTAAGGGACCAGGAGGGACATGGGGCTAAGTTAATCAGAGCCATGAAGGAAATGGAGATTGGCCAGCATTATCTCTGCCAGTGAAAAGACTTGCTCCTCTTTTATAGAATCTATGTTCTAACTTAGAGGCAAGGAATAATGGAGAGTCAGAACCCCACGCCTGTGTCCTGCCCCTCAACCTGGGCTTTTAGGGGTCCATCCTTCTCTTCCACTTCGGTCTATGCTCAAGCTGGCAAATCGGTGGCACCTAGAGGACCACTTCCCTTTGCTGCACCTGCGGCAGACATCATTAACTGATCACAGATCCCTTTCCCGTCTAGCCCAGGGGCGGGCCCAGCATCCTCAGCAACTGTCGGAATTAACATGCGGGAATAGACCTTTTTGCTGTTCCTGGTCCATGAAGTTGTAAACATTAGGCAAGACACCTGCAAAAAAAAAAAAAATTGAACCAACACATCAGATCCACCATACGCTTCGTTCTTAGACAATGTATAGATACAGTTTCTACATCGAGACTGGCAAAAATGTGGTGGTAGCTTGTAAGTTCTCGCAGTTCACTTGAAGTTGAGCAAATATTTTCCAAGGGCCCTGGTACAAGCAGTGCAGGAGGGACGTACTCTCCACTTTTTAGGAGTTCACATTCTAGGGGGAGAGAGAGAGACATTTCTCCAATGGCTGAATCGTAACCTTGATGATAAATATTTTGTGTGCTACCAGACAAGAGGAGATGGTGAGATACTGAGTCTCAAAAGGGAGGGGATTTGAGATGGTTTTCTGGTAATCTTTAAATTATTTTTATTTTAAATAGCATATGAATATGGTTTAAAAAACAAGAACAATCAAAATCAGAGTAGAAAATTGTGCAGAGTAATTGCTTCTCCCATCCTGAACCCAAGCCCCTCAGATTTTCCTGGAGGCAGTCTTTGTTAGCAATGACCTGTGGATGTACATAAATTTTGTTCAGTCTTCAAAGATGAAAGAATGTGCCTTCTCTTTAAGAGAGCAACCTGTAATGAATTTAAGTTACCTCAATTAGTAGGAATGACTGAAAGAGCAGAAATTGCCATGCATGGCAAGCAAAGGAGTCTGGTTTTTCTTTGGAAGATTTCTGAACAGAGCTATTAGACCTGATCACAGAAATGTGTTGGAAGTATTGCAGGGAGGAGCTGGAAGTAGACTGCTGAGAAGAGCTCACAACAGTTTATTTAAGCCTCTGCACCGATTTGAAATTTTCTGTTAAGTCATAGACACCAAACTTCTGTTAAAAATTATGCTTGCAACTATAAGCATTACCTTTGTGCCAGACCCTGTGTTGAGTGCTTTACATCCACTTTTTAATTTAGCCCTTACAATGTCCCTCCCAAGTATGTATCATTTTCTTTCCAGTTGATTGATAAGAACTGAACACAGCTGGTCAGTGGCATATTCAGGACAGAGCTAAGGTTTGTTGGCCCCCCAAAGACCACACCAGTGAACTCTTGCATGAATATGCCTTCCTAGCTACAAGGCATGCTTCCATCCTCCCTTTTCCTACTGTCCCAGTGATCTGTGCCTGCACTTCTTCCTCCCCAGAGATCGCCGACAAGATCTACAATCTGTACAATGGGTACACAAGTGGCAAGGAGCAGCAGACTGCCTACAACACGCTGATGGAAGTCTCAGCCTCCATGCTGTTTCGAGTCCAGCACCACTACAACTCTCACTATGAGAAGTTCGGCGACTTCGTCTGGAGGAGTGAGGACGAGCTGGGGCCCAGGTATGGGCATCTGATACGAGTGCAGTGGTAAATTCTTCTGGCTACCATGGGACTTTGCTGGATCCTTTTCTTCCACAGGCTGAGGATGGGCTTTGTGAAATAAATAAGGGTGGCAGTCACCTTAGTCGTGTCGGGGTTTGAGACGGGAAGTGGGCAGAGAGAATGAATCTCGGAACTTTGGCTTCCTGGACTCCTGAAATGTCAGATAAGAGAGAGACATCACTGCTCTTTTAAACGGTCACTGCCCGTGTTCATCTTCCACTTTTCAGTTTCGGAGATGGGAAACTTAGCCTCCTTGAGGAGATGTGTCCTGACTAAGGTCATGGAAGAGTGTGGTGGCAGGGCCATGGCCCCCTAACCTAGGGCTTTTCCTGCTCTTTCATAAGAAATCTTGGGTTATTTCTGGACTTAAGTCCATAAATGACCATATCTAAATACATTCATAATTTGAACATATATTAAGGCATGATTTTTATATCACCAGCAGTGACTATGCCACCACTGTGATAGGTGCCATGCAGGATTCAACCATAACTGAAAGACAGTCGCTGTCTTCTGAAATTCCCCGAACTAGTGTCCGAAATGGTGGCTGCATTTCATGCCTTGCATCCAACAATAGCATTCATTCACTTATTCAGCACAGACTGAGTAGCCCCTCTTTTAGGTCGGTTGGTGACCATGCAATGTTAAGGGTAGAAGCAGTCCCTGCCTGCACATAGCTTACTGTCGCATGTAATTAAACAAGCAAGTGCAAGGAATAGGAGTAAGTGTCATGGCAGCAGACGAGTGGGGCCTGTTGGGGAGGTGAGGCTTAGACGCCCAGGCTAGGTAACCCAGGGAAGCCCTCCCGAGGGCTGAGACTCTGAGACCCAAAGGGTGAGTGAGGGCCAGGCAAGCAGAGAGAGAGGATTGGACAGTTGTAGGCCAGGGGGCTGGCCTGTGAAGTGTCCGGACGACATAATACTCTAATACATAATACTATAAAGAGCAGGGTTTTCCTCTCAAAGTTTGGTCATTTGCCTGCACCTTTATGACTTTCTTAAGGTAATCGGGAGGACGGGAAGAGAATGAAAAAGGGAACCTAATTGCTTTTCCCCCGTGTGATTCATTGTTGTTCAAGACTGAGTCTGTGATCTTCTCGGGTATCACCTACAATCCTTTTTCCTGCCCCGGAGGAACTCTTTCTGCACTTTGGTAAACACTGCGTGTGGAGGAACTGAAAGAATGTCTGTGTAGTTGGCGCGGAGTGTGTGACAGCAGGAGTGGTCAGAGATAAGAAGGGAGAGGTCAGCGGGGGCCAGTTCCGAACGCCCTTTAAGCAGGGTTAAAGAGTTTGGATTATCTCTCTAGGGTAATGGGAAGCTTTTCAAGTGTTTTTCACAAGGGGCAGATACTATCAGAACTTCAGGGGAGAAAGATCCTTCTGACTGCAGTTGGAAGCGGGGACTAGAGGAGTCAAGACCAGAGGGAGGCAGTGAGGCCCTCAAGGCTGTTGTCGTACTGATCCAAGAGAGAGAGTGGTCTCCGGGCCGGGGTAGTATCAGTAGCCCCAGAGAGAATTGCATGACTTCCTGAAATACTTAGTGGGCAGCGTGTTTTGCTTTAAAGAGCTTTCAAATCACCCTCTAAACTAGGCAAAGTATCCTCCCCATTTCATCCATGGAAGAGAATCGAAGGCCCCCTCGGGTTGGATGAGCTGCCCAGAGGTGCGCAGAGTTTGCTGGGGAGTCTGGCTCTGAGTTTCCCCCTGGGCCCGTACAACACTTACAGCCCTCCAAGAATCTGAGGGAAGACGTGAGAGCCTGATCGAGGGATAAAAGAGATCTTTCCCTGGTGCGGGCCTTATCTGCTCCATTGGGTCCTGGACTGTAACTTGCTCCCTTTCACATGAAAGAAAGGTTCTCAGATAAAACTAAAAGAGAGCAGACAGACAGCAGCTGAGCCCCAGATGAAAGCTGCTGGTTGAGTCATCCCGGCTGCCATCTTGCCCGTGATCAGGGAGAGGCGGTCCATTTTATTGGGCTTCGCCAAGGGTTCAGGGAGTTTGGGTGGAAGCTAAACCAAGGCTTCACTGCTGACTTTGTCTTTATAATCTTCTTGGATCCTTTATGACCCTCCAGGACGTAAATCTTCTAGAAAGGCTTTCTGGCCACCCCTTGAGGCAGGACAACCCACTCAGGGAGGGACTGTGACAACCTGTTTACTGCCGGCCAGCTAGTCACCAGCCACTGCCCACCAACCCCTGCCTGTGTCACCCAGTTTCCTCCTCCCCTGGTCTTCCTAGTCTCCGGAGGGAATCTGAGATTTCTCTGATATCGCACACTGGCATCAGCAGGAATCAAGACCTCCGTCTCCTAATCTATCCTGGGACTGCTAGTAAACCCACTGTGCAGCCATGGGCTCTGGCCCTCTCTGGCCTGCAGTCTCTTCATCTATAAAATGACAGTAGTATTTTGCTGTTTTCAAGCAGTGAAAACTTTGTTTTCTAAATAAATCTTACATAGATCCCCAGGTCTTAGCTAGAATGCCACCTCCTCATTCACTCTACCTCATTCCTCTACCCATTCACTGTATCACACCCTCGTGTTTTAATTTTCTGTGATATCTACTGGGTGCAGAATCCTATATTGCTCATGCATTCTCTCTCTTCCCCACTACAGTGGCAGTTCATGCATAGCTAGTGATCCTTTATGTCCTATTCATTCCTGTGAGTAGGTGCTAAACCATTATTTGTTGAATAATTGGATCATGGGATGAGTGGATGTGTGGACCAGGTGACTACAGAGTTGCTCTGCTGGAAGTTTGAGTGGGTGGCCTGGAGCCCCCGCTTCTGGGTCTGCTCTTCAACTCCTGCCTCCAATCCCAGGGGTCCCTGAGGTCTACCTGAACTATCAAAGATCTATAGTTCACCATTGGAAACAACTGAATTCCACAAACTCCAAGGTTTTTCTAGCTTAAAAGTAACATTCTTAAAAAAAAAAAAAGCATTGGCCTTGCAAATATTAAGAGACTTGAGGAGACCCTCACTTTAGTTAATTGATTCATCGATTTCATTTAGCGTACTTACCATGTGCCAGGCCCATTGCTGTGGGCTGGAAGTAGATAGGTGAAGAAGGCAGCTCCTGCCTTTGCCAGGCTGAGCATCTAGTGAGAAGACTGGCCAACAAGCAGTTGCAGCGAAATATGTCACAAGAAGCATGCTATAAAAAGACAGTGGGAAGTGTGTTTCAGAGCATCGTTTGTCCAACTTTAATATACATGAGAATCACCTGGGGGGCCTTGTTATAAATCCAGATCAACTCAGTGGTCTGGAATGGATCTGAGATGCTGCATTTCTAAGAAGCACTTTGGTGATGCCAGTGTTGCTGCTTTAAAAAGCACACCTTGAGTGACAAGGTTCCGGATGCCGCTGTTGGTGCAGCTAATCCAGACCTGGAGCTCAAAGAATTCCTGGAGAAGAAAGGAAAGTGCATGCTTAGAAGTAAAGGATGAATAGGAGTCCTCCAGGTGGAAGGGGAGCAGTGCCCTCATCAGAAGGAACAACCAGTGCAAAGGTGAGAGAGGGTGGTGAGAGAACATACCTCAGTCAGGAAGAACGGATCTCAGTGGGGCAGAGAGTTCAAGGTGAGAGGGAGCAGGGAAAAAAACTAGGCTGAAGAGTTCAGCAGAGGCCAGATCGTGATGGCCCTTACGAGCCCTTTTCACATGTTGCTCTTTCTTCCAAAAGCTGGATAAAGGTTTTAGACACAAGAATCAATGTGGATAAGAGTACCATGCCTCTCAAGGGTTAGCAGGTATGCAGAACATCAGGGTGTAAAGGAGAGAGAGCAGGACCCTACCTTGGAACCAGGAGCCTTGGGTTCCTGTCCCAGCTTTGCCACCCACTTGCTGTGTAACCTTGGACAAATTTCATCACCTTTCTGGGCTTCATTTGAAACATAAAAGGGCTGAATTCCAAAGTCCCTTCTAGCTACAAAACCAAGGAACCAGAAAACCCTGAAGGTCATAGAGACCAGAGAAGAGGCACACCATGAGTGTCCTTTCACCTCTAGCCTAGCAAGTCTTGTTTCTCAGCAACCCAGGGTGGCTAGGGTAATAAAAGCTTTTCCCAGGAGCACCCTGAGGGCTGAGATCACGCGGAGAGCTCTATTAGGATTTTGCTGGCCTGTAATCACCAAACCCCAAAATGTTCTCTACTCCT